AAGATCAGTCCATACAAATGTATTTATCTACAGCCCTGTTTATTTTCTGTGCTTCTGGTGAACTGGCACCATATTTTCATTGCTGATCAAATAGAGTTGGTAGTTTAGGCTCAGGAGGCTCCTGTTTCTACCTCACTATGTGATAAGAGAACCAGGGGTTACGGGAGAAACCAAACGTTTTTTCAGTTTCAATCTGTGACTTTACAGTTAACATAACTTTTCAGACACACATAATTGTGTTGTCCTGTTAAACTAACATTGTCTATTAATGTTACAGGCGGGCATGACTGATAAAGTTTTCTGCTTAGCTCTCACATTAACTTTAGAAGTTATATTTTAGTTTGATGCTGGCGACACCAGCTGCTAGTGAGGGGAGGGGCTGTACCTGCCACCTGCAGCGTGCTGTGTTCACTTCACTAAATATTTCCAAAGAGCGCTTTTTCCTTTATCATTTTTGACCAAAACTGGCTGCTCTGATCCTCCTGCAGCCGCGCTGGCCATATTACAGCAAATAAAGTTAATGCATCACACCATCATTTCAAACTCAACCCTTCCTGAATTGGTTTCAAATTAAAAGCTCCTTATGACCTCAGCTGAGAGAATCCCTCCACTAAATAGGCTTTTATTGTGAAATATTTGTAGGAAGTTGTTGTGGAGGTTTCAGCGGCTTCTACGTTTGCGTATGGTACTTCAAATGAAGCTCCTGCTGTCTGCTGGCGCTTTTTAGGTGACTACAACAACATTTCGGCTGGCACATGAACAGACACAGTGAGTGAAATGATAGTAAAAGTAATAAAAATAGGACAAGAATAACCCAATGACATTACACTCGTCATGAAAGACGACCGGGGATAACTGGTGTGGACCATAGTGTAGTGTTTCATGTCTGTCGGCCAGGTCACGGCACGATTTTAGGACCCCACAATTGTATAATGTGACATAGTGACTTTCAGAACGGGCAGAAAAGTTGTGTAGTGTGTACCAGGCACAGGTACACTCGCTGTATAATTGTGGGTGGTGGTCACGGAGATGGCTCATCAAATCTCAAGTGTTACCCCCCTTCGCGGAGACTTCTTTTCTGCATTTTCTGCAGACAGGGTGACTATTTTTAATTAGTTTCCCCTCAGCATCCTTATAAATTTCAAAATATGTCCAGACTTCAGACCTTTTAGAGGGGAAAAATCTCCGGAGCACTTTCCTTGCGGGTGCTTTTAGCCATGTGTCAGAGGCCAAGCATTGCAAACTGCGCATGCGCACCTGCGTCTAAGGGATTGCTGCTGCTTTTCAAGGTAATGAGCAATATCACCGTGAGTTTTTCAAAGTGCGGTAATCAAACACGGTTTTAATGATAATTAAAATCTGAAACGGTAATACTAACCATCAGGAATTTTGCCTTTTTTTTTTCATTATTTTTTTTCATATTTTTCATCATTTTACCGGTAATCGTTGCATCCCTATGTGAAGGGAACAACTAATCACAGCCAGTAGATATCTTTCCCTTCTTCTGTAAATATCAGTCTGTGGTAAATATGGAGAAGTTGATCACTTTAGAGCAGGCCTACCCAGAGCTTTACACCTGTCTCACAGACAATATTTTAGGCCTCATACACACACACAAAATAACATCTGGAAGAAGATCAGCTCTGCACTCAGGATTTCTAGTAAGTAGGCTATGATATGGTGTTGGTTATGGTCGCTTAGCAACGTCAGATGCAACATACGTCGTGCTTTTAAAAGTAGGGACCAGGTAGGCATAGGAGTATCACCCAGTGCCTGAACTCACGGTTTTCAGGCACCTAAAGATGCGTCAAGTGTCCCGGCCCCAACTCTCCCATGTTGGTGAGCTGAGAGGACCCACTGATATCTGCAGTATAACAATATCAGGGAGAGGAACTTTAACCAAAATAACTGAGCCAGACCTGGATTGATTGATGTAGAAGTACAATTTGTGTACTTAAAAGAACATGAAAATTCATCTAAAAAGTGGGACATAATCATGAATGGATTACTGAACAGGCCTACTGGGCACAGGCCCAGGGGCCCACACTGTCAGAGGCCTCCCCTGGCCTTCATCTGCAAAATGACATTCAAATTACAAATCAGGAAGAGATTCAAAATTACCTCAAAGGGACACAAAAAGACCAGAAAACGACACAAAGGAACTAATAATAGACACAAAATCATAACAAAAACGGGCAAAACTACCATAAAGAGACACAAAATCACTTGTGAGATGAAAAATGACCAAAAAGGCCACAAAATTACTTCAACTAGCAGCTGCGTAGCTTACCTTAGCACAAAGACTGGAGAGGGGTTTAACAACTAGCCTGGCTCTGTTCAGCGGTAACAATACCTGCTTACCAGCACCATTTGGTTCACAAAGACTTTGTTACCAGCAGCTGATTACACTGCCTCTTCAAGGAGGGAATTTCATGTCATTATGCCACCCCGCCATTCTGTGTAAAAGGTATACTTGCAGAATTAAGAGACAGAGTTGTCTCACCTCTAAGCTGCTGTTGGAGGTAGTGACAGCGCCGAAACGATGTCTGTATTAATGAAAAAGCCCTCAGGGTGGGATCACGGGCAACACAGGTGTGATGTTTTGATGATGTGCTAAAGATTTCAAAAGCAGCTGCTAGCAGTTAGCAGCTGAGTAACAAAAAAAAAAAGCAGCAGCCAAAAATGTCCGGACATTGTGAGAACAATGAGGTTCAAGAGCTCCTTACCCTCCAAGCAGAGGACGAGATCAGCAGCCATATAACAGGGACTATAAATGATTACTGTTGCTGTGTTATGCCAGTGTTATTGTTTAAAAAGCCCTGCCAACAGGTATGTTATATGTCACACTAGAGACCCATCTGTTGCGTTACATGTCACGCCTGTTACACCTCTTTTGCTTCTGCTATGTCTGCATGTTGTCTAAAATCACTCACTGGAGTGGCAAGACGCTTCTGTTGTTTGGTTCTGTGTAAAAATGCAAGGGAGGCACTAGGGTCGCAGCGATACACTAATTTTAAGGTATACTGTGTTATAGAAATTGACTGTTATCTTACTGTGTACATCTACTTATCTACGATACTGGGGAAAAAAAATCCAACTGGACGAAGAATCTCCCTTTTCTTTTAGTTATTATCAAACTTTTTACACAAGCTTCCATTAAAAAATGGTTTCAAGTTTTAATTACAGTAATAAAACATTTGTTCAACAAAAATAACCCTTCAATTTTCATTCCTTTAAGGCTCATTCTGATTCATGATAATATAAATTCTGTAATGCAGTGATACAGTGAAACCGTGATATTTTCTGAGATGGTTATCGTACTGTGAAAATCTTATACTGTTGCAACACTAGGAGGCACGAAGAAGGGACTGCTTAACAGCTCTATAGCACCATCACTGTGTATAAAGGGCTAAAGAGACACAAAACCACAAAAAGATGGCTAACAACTTAAGACAGATGCAAAACAACAACAAAACGAGGACAAAGTCTGTCTTGCTCCTGTGTGGGAGCAGTGGTGGGGCCTTTAACATATCTGTGCCTAGGGACTCCTTATCTGATAATCCGCCCATGGACATAATGCATGTGGCAACATTTCCAATTCCATATTAACAGTGATTAAATTGTCTCATATCAGTAAATCCGAAATTTGAATGCAAAAATTGAATTGTTACTTGTCATTTAAAACAGTAGCCTGGACTGTCCGGCCTACATCCTGTTTGTGATGAACACTGCTGACATAGAATAACCTGTGGTGTGTGACAGACAGGAGATGCTCACTGACACAATGACAGCGGCAGCAAACACACGGGCGCGCGCGTGCGCACGTAGACGCTTGTGATGCTTTGCTGCAGGGTAATGTTAGATAATAATTTTGCACTCCTTACCTTCCGTCCTGCTCCGTATTGGCTGGCGCTCCACCGGGCCCGGTTGTCCACCGCTGACTCTACGTTACCGGGCAGCGAGCCGGAGTCCGAATCCTCCCCCTCCTCCAGCTCCTCTTCCCCTTCCTCCCTCTCCTCCGGCTCCGTCTCTCCCTCATCCGTTTTCAGCCGCTTTGCCGCCCTTCCGTACTCCCCTTCCTCGCGCTGGCCGGCTCCTTCAACCGTCGACATGCTCGCGGCTGTAGTGGACCTGTTGGAGAGAACGGGTCGGGGTATGGTCAGACTGATACGTCCATGTCAACAATTATCCTGTATTGTCTCCTCGTGAAGCAGCCTCCGTGTGTCTGTGTCTTTTTGTATCCCTGTCCCCGTGTCGCGGCTCCAGTTTGTCCCTGTCTGTCTCTGTCACTCTCCAACACCAGTGATTTTCTATGTGTGGAGGCGTGAGTGGACTGGACACATCCCGCCCCGTCCTTTTCTCTCATTGGTCAGTTTGGGCCTGCATTTCGAGAGACGGCGTGTGATTGGCTCGTGACGATGCGTCAACAGACAGCTCTCCATGCTCTGCAGAGGAGTGCGGAAAGAAGGAGCAGAGAGAGGAATGGTGGGCTACAGAAAAAAAACAGTGGAGACAGACTCTGAATTGCAGAGCGCAGGAAAACAGAGGGAGAGAGAGAGAGAGAGAGAGAGAGAGAGAGAGAGTGTGTGTGTGTGTGTGTGTGTGTGTGTGTGTGTGTGTGTGAGCCTATTTGCTGCATCATTACAAGACATAGGTTGGGCTTGCCAAAAACTAACCTTGCTGAAAGCTCTTTGCATATTGTTCAATATAGATTTCAAAAACGTTCCCAACAAAGGCCACGCCAAGTTGTGACAAAGACAACGATAGCCGTAGCCTACATTGGTGTGTTGTTTGACATACATCTCCAAAAATGTGGGGAATTTAGCTGAAGGCATGGTGATTAATGTGTTCTAAGTAGCATTATTCATATGGTGTGGGAAAATGAAAGAGGAAGAGAATTTAGGGTGATTGGGACATACAGTCAAATGGGACAGTAACTGTACAGGGTTTATTTTCTCACCTGATGAGTGAAAAAAACAATTTTTGCTTAGCTATAGCTTTGAAACCTCTTAATCAAAATTGCATGCCTTCAAGACTTAGTTTTGTTGTCTGTTCCTAGCCCATGGACTGAGCTGGGAAAAAAGCTCTTATGTGCTCTGCTCCTCTCACTTGAAATAACCTTCAGAAAGAATTGAAATTAGGTGAATTGGTCTCTCTGCCTGATATTAAAGCTCTCAGAAATATAAGGATGAATGAACTGGTATGTTCCTGTCATTGTATGTATGTTTTAAAATATCTCTACATGTTACTGTATATCTTGTATGCTGCTGTCTTGGCCAGGTCTCCCTAAAGCAAGCGATCATTAATCTCCGTGGGACTGACTGGTTAAAAATGTGTTAAATAAACAAACAAACAAATAAATAAATAAATACATAATGTCCTTAATATCTGAAGTATCTCCAGAAAACATGTTGAAAACCTCCTGAGATGAAATTTCTGTGTGCATAATCAATAAGATGTATTATAAGCTCATTGTATCATTAGAAAATCAAATGAGAACAATATTTAAACAGTGTTTGCCCTGTTCATTTTTCTGGGGACACTCAGATCCATTGTCCATTCCAATGGATGGATATTTTTTAAAATTCTAAGTAAAAGCTATAAATCTGTAAAATGATATTTTGACCAGTATAAGTGATATAACAGCTCATGTTTACTTTGAACACAGTCTAAATACAAATTATGTACTTAAACAATATGATTAATAGACTGAGGGTGGAGTCACATGACAGTAATCATAGATATAGACATCCTAGAAAAGTTGTGTCCATTGGAATGGACGGGGGATCTGAATGTCTTCAGACACAGAAAGCCTTCAAAACTTGGGGTATTTACTTATATATTTTATATTGTAGAACAAAATGTGAAAGTCTCTTCCGCTTGTGTTAACCACAGACCTATTTTCAGACATCTAACCAAAAACCCATTAAAAAACCCACTGTCTTTGAGACAAGGGGAGCATGAGTGGTAAAATGCTAACTCATTTCAGGGTTTCAGGACTCATTCCTTCACTCTGTTTGAGAGGAGGTATGGAAGAGTTAAAATTCCATACTTAAAGAAAAGAAAAGAAAAGAAAAAGCGAAATACAATTCCCATTGTTATATACATTTCCCTTTCACATATGCATTAAAACCTATTTCTTAGGCATTATAATTAATACATATGTTTAAAAAAATTAGCTTTTTGTCTTTAATAACTGAATGGATTGTTTTTCATTGTGGCATGAATTTCCCATACCACATTAAAACACATCATGACATGGAATACAAAGGGAGAAGGTTTACTGCATGTCAGTGTTTTCCAGAGAAGTGCAACCTGCTAATATCAAAAGTAAACCACTGCCATTCATTTTCATAAGGGGGTGCAAAGGAGATTTTTCTTTGATCTAAATGTAAATGCATTGTCAGTGTCAAATGAAAACCAATCAATTGTCCAATCATGGCCTGAGGGCAGGACAATGGGCAGAGCTTATCATCACTGCCACAACCTGGTGGCAGCCACAGCAGACAGCCTTTCATGTTAGGGCTCATTTAGGCTCGATGTTAGATACATATACAGAGCCTTCTGTCAGTAGTCTGTGTTCATTTTGTCCATACTTGTGCACATGGTCTGAAAGCTTACGGATTCACACAAAACAGAGCAGTACCACCAGAGTTAGGGAAGGCAGTGTAGCTTAGTTCAAGCAAGATATGACCACAGGAAATGACAAAGACATTTCAAAAATGGTGGAATCAAACAAATCGATAACATAGTGAGAAGAATTCTCTGTGCACGTCATGATGTATTTAATGGGCTCACAGACCACTGCCATCTACAATGCTGCCTCTGTTTAAAGACAACCTCCTCCACTGTCGCCTCATTTTATGTTGTGTGAGAATCTGCCCTCTAGTGCCATCTATGGGATGTATATGTCATCATAAATGACGCATCAAAGTATGTGGGCAGTGACTTTGCAATGGTTGAAAGGGACGTATGTATTTCTGTACGTAAAGGGAGTATAAATGAGCCTTTAACACAGTTTACTTAACTCCTTCTTTCCACTTACATAATAATGGAGATGAGTCAACAGGAAGTCCATTCATTACTTTATAATGTGGCTGCGGAACTCCTCCCCTCCGTAATATTTTGGTCTGGATTTTGCCTCGAGTACATTAAAAAAACTGAACTTTTGTGGTGGATTTCGGAGAGACCATATGACAGTGTGCTAGCTAGCTAACAGGATATTTCCTTCAGTTAAGTTGCCTGTGTTGATTGTCAAGTGAGTTTTTGTGATTAAAAAGAACTTGTTTTTCTAGTTTGAACTGTGAATCTGAATAATGTTATTGTGCTAAAATATGGTTATACATTATATACAGTCAGATTATCAATAACTCATGTACTTATTCAGCAGTTCATGTATCTTTTTAATGAAATATTTAACAAAACATGCCACGCGCCTGGCAGGTCCTGTTTTTGTCCTGGTAATGTTCTAAGTGTATTCCACGCTACTGGATGGCAAAAAAACCCTGACAAATTTAGTCTATCCCCCATGGCTACACATAGTTTCTATCAGGTTTCTATCCATCCATAAAGAAATGCACTTCCTTGCAGTGGACACTAGAGGCATCTGTATATTTACGAATCTACAGACACCAGTCACATATGTAGGAGGAAACAAGGCATAAGGCTAACCGGCACATTACCATTGACTGTCTAATCACATTTGTGATTGACTGACTGTCTTGCAGCCTGGCATTCACCTCTTCACTTTGCTTTCTGAGTTGTGATATGAATTTAATGTGGAATAAAAAATTATTGTCTCTATGAAAATTGTCCTTTTAACATTTGTTTTTAATTTAACCATAATACAGTAAATGTACACATTAAAGGAAATGTATGCACACTGTATTGCACTTTGTTATTTAGTTTTTTAATTCAAAAATCTTCCATAGACCTGCAAGGGACAGATTTTATTTTATTTTGAAAGAAAAGAAGGGTCAAAATTTAAACAGCTGCTTTTGCACAGCCATGTTCAGGCATTGAAATGGGCAGTTTTGAGCTGTTTAAACTGACTGTAGAGTTACAAAACATTGAACTAATGTTGCACTGTTATTTTGTTAATAATTTTGTATTTGCACAACAGTTTTCTGGCATTGAAAAAAAAACTTTGTTACACTTTATTACATAATTGTAACTGTTAAAAATAAACCCACTGTCCCCATATGAGGACATCATTTAAAAAAAACAACAACTACTTACTGTTCAAAGACAATGCTTAGTTTTTTATGTTATCAGGTCCTACTAATCTAAGTTAGGAGAAATAAAAAATGCATACCAAACAAAAGCTGGGGTCTCAGGAGGGTAAAGAAAAAGAAGTCATTTATTTATATCCTTAAGGAAATATTAATTTTTTACTCTTTTGTTTTGTCTTTTACACATGTGCCAGAAAATACATGCACAGGGTACATATGCTATGGAAATGCATATGTTGAGAGATGTGGGCTGCAACAGCATACCTGGAGAGCGCTGTCAGTGCTGTGGACTTAAACTCACCACCCTCCAATTCCCACGCCAAGTCCCTACAGACTGCACTGCTGACACCCTGATAGTGCCCATATCTTTCAAACTTCCCACTTTGTAACTTAGGCTTTCCTGAACCCCTTATATGACATTTGAAAAACAGGTTCACCTGCTGTTTATATTCTCCTCTGCAACTTATTATGAGCACATTTGTAGCTTTTATGGTTTTTAATGATAGATTTAATTGTTGTCTTATGAATGTATTACAAGTAGGTAAAACATGCATGCAACATCTCTGTCTAATTTAACTGTGTTTTTCAGGAGTCAGTTCCCCAAAACAACAACAAAACAGATGTTCTCACTTCTCTATAGTACTATCTCACCATGCGATACTTTTGGTTTTACTTGTCCAGGTTTTGCAATATCTGTTTCTGAGATTTCTGCCTCCACTCTGACATAGTAGAGGTGAATGGAATTTCATTTGTGTTGCTGCTATTGAAAGCACATCTTTTTTTTTGATAGTCTCTCATTCGATAAGACACTTTAGAAAATTAAGGATTATTTCTTTGGAGGAAAGTAGTTTGGTCGAAAGGGTTTGTAAATCAAGTTCAAGCAGAGCCAGTCTGCCTGTTGTTCAGTATGTTTACATGCACAGTTAAGTCGAGCTATATGGGTATAGCTCAATTACGCCATTTAATTGGACTACTGTCCTTGTCCCAGTATACAAGCATGGGAAAGGAGTCGATTTATTGGTCCAAAGTATGTCAGACTCTGCTATGATAGGTGGTGATATGCCCCCTTTCAGCTTGTTAGTATA